GCATGGAGCACTGGGTGTTATGCACAAACAATGAATCATGGAACACTACATCTAAAACTAATGATGTAATGTATGGTGATTAACATAACAATAAAAAAAAGAATTAGAGTCCAAGAAAGCCGGGTGAATATGAAAGCAGATATGGCTGGAAGGGGCCATGATTCAGGGAATGAGGATAGCTTCTAGAAGTTGGAAGGGTGTGTAAATGGATTTTTCCCTAGAGCCTCCTGAAGAAATGCTGCCCTGATGACACCTTGATTTTAGCCAGTGAGACCCTATTGTGTATTTCTGACCTCCAGAGCTATATGATAACTTATGTTGTTTTACACCACTAAGTTCATGGTAGTTTGTTACAGCAGCAAGAGAAAACTAACGTGACACACTCACAGAGGCATATATACAATAGTTAAGATGGAGTATAATCTGAGTTTGTTTCTGTTAGAATTCCTATCGGATACTCGTCATCAAGGGTACTTTTGATTAGATTTTGTGTTGGAAAACTCAGAAGTGGGGCTCCTTGGGTAGCTCAGTAGGTTTAGCCTCCGACCCTTGGTTCCGGCTCAGGTCATGATCTTAGGGTCGTAGGACCCAGGCCCGCAAGGGGCTCTGCGCTCAGCAGGGAGTCTGCTTCTCTCCCTCTCCCTCTGCCCCTCCTCCACTTGCTCTCTCTCTCTAAAATAAATAAATCAATCTTAAAAAAAAAAAGTAAACTCAGGGGCACCTGGGTGGCTCATTTTGTTGTCTGCCTTTGGCTCAGGTCATGATCCCAGGGTCCTGAGATCGAGTCCCACATCAGGCTCCCTGCTCAGCGGGGAGCCTGCTTCTCCCTCTCCCTCTCCCTTTCCCCCTGCTTGTGCTCTCTCTCTCTCTCTCTGACAAATAAATAAATAAAATTGTAAAATAAAAAAGAAGAAGAAGAATGTGTTCTCCACAACCTTACAGTTTACACTGCAGGGATTCCATGAAGCAACTGAAATTATTTGCAAAATATTGTGTGTTTATATGTATTATATTCTGGGGAGAGTCTATATGTTTTACCAGGTTCTCAACAACACCCTTGATCCTCTAGACATTAGGAACCATGTATTTTATTTTATTTTATTTTAAGATTTTATTTATTTATTTGTCAGAGACAGAGAAAGAGAGAGCACAAGCAGGGGGAGTGGCAGGCAGAGGGAGAGGGAGAAGCAGGCTCCCCGCCGAGCAGGGAGCCTGATGCGGGGCTGGATCCCAGGACCCCGGAATCATGACCTGAGCTGAAGGCAGACACTTAACCCACTGAGCCACCCGGCGTCCCGGAACCATTATTTTAATAGATTTGCTCTTCCCTGTTTTAATCAGCAGAGGGCAGAAAAGTAATACAATTAGCAAATTCAACCCCCTATAAATAAGTCCTCAATTTCTGCCATCTATTTCCTGTCTTTGCTCTAGTTTGTTTGTTTGTTTTTTTAAGTGAGCTCTACACCCAGCGTGGGGCTTGAACTCACGACTCTGATATCAAGAGTCACGTGTCTACTGACTGAGCCAGCCAGGTGCCCATTTGCTCTGGCTTTTCTCTAGGCTAAAATTCCCTACCTGCAATCCCCTTCTGCATATGTCAAAACCCTACTGTCTCCGACTACCCATATCAAAAGCAGCCCTTCTTCTTTAATTTGGATGGATTCACTCCTTCCTTTCAGTTTCCCTGTGTATTCTGTTGATATCTATGGGAGTTATCATATTCTTCCTTTCAAAACAGCTATTGATTTAATTATTGTTCCAGGAGACCTTGGTCAATTACCCGTATTAATCACTGCATAATTATTATTTTTTTGAAAGATGAAAATATAGGTTGTAACTAAACCAATCATTTTCAAGTAAGGTTCCAAAAGATCTGTGTGTCAGAAGGTAAATTTCACATCACTGCAACAAGACAAAGGTGATGGTTGCAAAATATGTGATAAGTTTTTGCCCCAAAACAATGGTACCAGCTTGCTGTTTAATGTTGCTAAGCAAACAATTAAACAGAAAAAGTAAGAGAAGGCAGTGCTCCCGGCAGACCCATGGATCTGTCTTTCCAACAGTGAACAGAACAGACCAGGGACACCCCTTCTACCAGCCTCTGACCACCCTCCAAACTTTTTTTCAGTTGCAACCTTGGGAGCCATCTTCTCAGCCACCCTCTGCCTCTGGGACGAGCCAACATACTATTTTGAGCTTAGCTACCCCAAGATTTCTACTCACAAGCTGAGCACAGAAAACTCTGTGATAATACTTGAAGTGCTTAATGTTGTTTTGAGTAGAAATAAATTGGTGAGAAATAACCCTTGAATAACCCTTGGTGTCCTATTTATGTCTCATTTCTTATTTTAAAAGAAACAAAATTAAGGCCTGACTTGATTTTGGAATGCATCATTTCATGGCAAACGACCAAAGGCAGACACCGTGTCTTTCTCCCTTTCAAGGCCTTCAATAAGCATCAAATTGAATTGAAATGAATTAAACTGATGGTGAAGTTTCAAACCAAACTGGCCTGTAAGTGAGT